GGCTGAATTGCACAAAACGCATGATCGCACCGGCTAGCCTGGTGCGCGTTGCCATTTATTATTATTGTCGTCGATATTATTTATTATCGTCATTATCTTTATAACTCCTTCTCTTGCTATTCTCATTTTCATCGTTATTACCACGAAGGCTCACTGTTCATTCTGTAGCTTTAACTCCTGGTTTCAACCTTAGGCTTTAGCGTCAATATCACATATTCTCGTAGAAAATTCCAATCAGTCAGCTTATCAGGGTGTGAGAGTGGCAATCGTCTAGGCAGTATCGAGAAACAGGGGTTCGAGAAGGCACTGCACCGCAGTTTGGCCAGTCTGGCTTCGGCAGTAGGAGCCATTACTAGCTTAACCAGGAGGTTTTTTTTTGCAGTAAAGAACAAGCATCTAAGCAGAAAATGCATAATGCACACAATGCGTCGTGGTATGAGAAATATAGCACGAAGTGAAGTAGGATGAGGGAAGGAGGGGGCAGCGAGGCAAAGGGGAGGGGGATAATATAGATAAAGGCTTAATTCCCTAGGCTAAATGAGACCTCGTTGTTTCGAGTTTCATCATTTTTATGGTTTTAGTGTTTGATGTTTTTTTTTGCGATTTTACGTCACAGGTGTTTTTTTTTTTCGGTTGCAAATTGTTTCACTCAAGTTGTCTTTTTTTTCAGTCCTGTAATTTTGTACTGTTTCTTGGTGCAGTATGATGTTTATTGTCGAAGGAATGTTTCATCGAAGCCACAGGCATTTGCTGCAGGCTTGCAAGGTTATTTTTTTTCTTTGAGTTCAACTTCGGCTTAAAAAAAGCTGGGTAAAAAATACTTTTTACTTAAATTCTGCCTGCTGCGTTTTTCAATACATAAATCTTGATATTACTGTGCTGGAAGCAGTCTCTTTCAAAGCTTTTTTCATACAAAAATGACGAATTTTATCGGACATAAAGATGTTACAGCTGCAAATTTGAGGCATTGGTACTTATCCTTGATAAACAGTTACATAATTTATGCAGGCGAAAAGATATGAATTGTTTTCTTGGAAATCTGTATTGAATTCTATAACATTTGCCGTAGTTTTTTTTTCTGATAGTTTCCAGTTTCTACGTATTTTTAACATTTAAGCGAATGCAAAAGTTCATAACCAATACGCGCAGAATCAAAAATAGGATAGTAGTGGTGGAGTAGTTGTTCTGTAGGAACATTAAACATTGATAATTTCTTTTTCTTGTTTAAATATAAAATGGTTTTGTTTACTTAATTATTAGCACGAATACTACCTCTGCCTAGAATGCATGGCATACTGGAAGCATCTTGTTCTTTCGTTATCATTAAATACACGCTTTTTGTCTCTTGAAATTTTTGCAGAGCTGCTAATCTCATAGATAGTCGCACAATACCCTTTTTTTTACAGACTCTAATACCGGCCGCACGCAAACTGAGTCTCAAAGAACATCAGGGTATTACGCTGCTAAAGCAAGCTGGAATACCAGTTGCTCCATTTGGAGTTGCTCGAAATGCAGACAAATTAATGGAGGAAGCTGCAAAAATTGGTAAGTGTAAGATTGAAGAGCAAAGTTTCTTCAGGATTTTTTTTGCATTTTGTTTTTGAATTGGTTTGAAAAAAAAGTTGAAAGCTAAAAAAATTTGAAAAATTATCGATTATCTCGGCAATTTTTTTCCAGGTGGCAAGGATCTCGTTGTAAAAGCTCAGGTTTTGACCGGTGGTCGAGGTAAAGGATATTTCGATTCTGGCTTACAAGGAGGCGTGCAACTTGTCTTTTCGTAAGTCCCCTGCTGATTTATCAGTGCTGTAGCCGAACATCATGTCATTCCTTCTTTTTTTTTCATTTCGTGGTTTTATTTTTGACCAATTTTTTCAATTTCCCCAGACGTCAAGGTATCTCAACGTAATCTCGAGGTGCATCCCTAGCCGATACAGTCGCTCCACACATATCGTTGAATCTCCAAGCAGATAAAGCTTTGTCAAAGAGGTTCTGTCAGGAAATTTGTTAAATCGGTAATCCTTCCAGAAAGCGAAAAAATGGCCAGTTCATTAACAGTAGCCAAAATTATTATTAGTATTATCCTTATTATTGTCATTATTAGAAAGCAGCAGTTTCTCGAACTTAATTTTTAGGCCTGAAGAAGCACGTGACAAGGCTGCAATGATGCTGGGCTCAAGAATTTTCACGAAACAAACTGGCGCGCAGGGCAGACTGTGTGAAGAAGTGATGGTATGCAAACGACTCTTTACCCGTCGTGAATACTATTTTTCCATCACTATGGATCGACATTCCGGAGTAAGTGTTTTATGCTGCATTATCCTGAAATGACGACTTGAAATAACTGGTGATTTTTGGGATCGGAGAACGTAGAATTATGTTTTCCAGAGCAAAAGTGTTTTTTTTTTGCGAGAAAACGGAAGAACATGGTTTGAAGTGGATTACTTAGAATAAGAAAGAGATTTTGAATATCTGCGTTTGATTGCATCTCAGTAATATCGCGAGTACTACAGTCGCTTTATCGTGGGATTCCTTGCTTCAGAATCCTTATACGTTTTTTGCTTCCCCCTCTCCCCCTCTCCTCCTCCCCACTTTCTCCGCCCTCCTTGTCCCGCAGCGCACATGAGATTTCAAAAGCTTAGTTTCTTTTTTTTTTTCTGGAGATATAAATTATGCTTGGGTTAGAATCTGAGATTTGCAGGTCAGGATACAGAAGGAGTAGCCTAAGGATGTTCTTTTTTTAACAAGAAAGACTTACTGCTTCACAAAATTTCAGGTTGCTATTACATTTCATATTTTTTGAAATGCCATTTCATCTATGTTTTGCTTTCTAGGGGCCAGTAGCTGTTGGTTCATCGAAAGGTGGTGTCAACATTGAGCAGGTAGCTGCAGAGGATCCAAATGCCATTGTAAAATGCCCAATTGATATTTTTGAAGGATTGACTGATGCAAAAGCTATGAGTGTTGCCGAACAAATGTCATTCAGAGTAATTCTATTTTTATGTTTTTGTCTTAGAGCAAAATGCATTTTTGTCGAAAATGCCTGATTCTGGATGGACAGAGTATCGCTGACTCTAATTCCGAGTTTTCTTGCAACAGTGTTTTAGCAGTTTTATCAAAGCAATGCAAATTTCAGAATTTTCATCTGCTTTCTGTTTCACTGCTTTCAACAAAAAAGTCAAAATTCAATTTCTTGCTATACTTTCTCTCTCTGTCTGCGCAAGGCAAAAGCAGTTGGTGGGCTTCCTCTTTCGAGAGTTGCTTCGAAGCAGGCTGACGGCGATTTTGAATCTCTAGCGTGCGCCAGTATTAGTTGCAAGCGAAACCAATGAACGAATGGCTATCTCTTGGGCAAAATTGAATCAGCGACTGTTATGGAAAGTTACTTTTTAGAGTCGAAAGATTATGTTAGCTTTGCGATGCTTATCCTAAAGACAGTTGTTGTTTTACAGGATGAATGCAAACAACAGGCTGCAGAAATTTTCAAAAAACTATACAATTTATTCATTAAATTTGATGCTACGCTTGTTGAAATCAATCCAATGGCCGAAGACGTCAATGGAACAAGTAATTTTTACGCGTTTCACAAAATTGCATTATAATCGCATTTTCTGTCCCTTAATTCTTCAACGAGTTTGAGAATTTAGTTCTATGGAACTTGAGTGAACCGACTGCACTTTTGTATTTTCTGTTTTTTTTCATAAAATTATCTTTACGTGCTCGGGGTTTTTGACAAAAGCAGAAGAGCGAACGCTGGTTGCGATAATCAGAGAGTAATGGAGTGGAAGAATGCTTGACGTGTCTCTCCGTGACCATACAAGCGGGCAGATTATCTGTCAGCGAGTTACAGCCTGTAACTGCGACTACGCGAGAATTGAAAAATTGGATAAGCAGAATTTGTTGCGCGATTCGCCGATAACCAGTGAATTTCACGTGCTAGTGAGTGATACCCACAACAAATGGGCCATTCGAAGTCACTTTTTTGTCTCCTGTCTTTTAACTGAAGCGTTTTTGGCGTAAACCATGCTGAATCAAAGTCTGTTGAAGGTCATTCCAAGCCATTT